AGCTTTCCTGTAAATCCTGTCAAAATGGAAAAAAATCCCAGTGGGAATATTTCAGGGGGTGTGGTAAACAGAGAAAGCTTGGTGCAGCCTGACAAGCTATGGTCACATAAGTTATGGAGGTATCAAAAAGAAACAGCAGGATAAGAAACAAACAGAAAGAAATCAGCTTTGTACCAACTAAAAGCCAGAACCATGGCAACTTTATGCTGCAAGCAGGCCCAATTTTAGACTCTTTCCATGGTTTGCATTATTGAATATGAAATGAGAGACATGCTGCCCACTTGATTATTTATGAAGGAGTGCAGCTCAGAATACAGAAGGGAAATAAATATCTCCATCAGTTATGCTGACTGGAGAGGATAACGGTTACTGAAAATATTATTTATGCTCCTGAAACTAATTCTACAGCATTTTACTCTCCTTGTAGTAATAATTATCTAGAGTTCACCACTCTATGCTTTTTTCTCCTGCTTAGAACCTCAAGGACACAGGATTGTACATTTATCACCCCAAGGCAGCAATTTCTTACACCAAAATGGAGATGTGTTGAAATTGTTGACCAGAAATCAGCACAGTGCAAGTTTTGTTCAGTACAGAGCATAGAAAGATGGAAGGACAGCCTCTAAAGTTGTTACAATCACTTCTCATTTGTATATGGTACACTCTTATGGTGCTTGGCACTTCACAATGCAAAAGTGACATCTGCTGGCCACCATGCAATATAGCCTGCTAACCCTGCCCCCCAGCCCTGAAACTGAATAAGACAAGCCAGGAACTTGCAGAATGCCATGAAGTTCATGCTACTGATCTTAAAAGATAAGTGACTCATTGTAACATGAGTTGGTCCATGTTTTAAGCACAGAAAAAGAAATGTTCGAGCAGTTTCAATTTACAACCAAGTGATGCCAGATCCCTGAAGAGTCATGTCTGCAGATACATAGAGACATAGAAACTGAGCGAGTAAGAAGGGGCCTCCTGGGCCATCTAGTATGACCTCTGGCTCCAGCCGGCTCTGTTCATGACATGCCTACCATGTGCATGTCTAGCATAGTGAACACCCTCACTGATGGGGCTTCAACCACAGCCTGTGGAAGCCCATTCCATACCCTTTGGGTCCTAACTGGCAGGAAGTGCTTCCTGGCATCCAAATTGAATCTTGGTTCCTTGACCTTGGCTCTGCTGGAGTGTGTCCTGCCTTCCTCTGCAGGGGAGAACAGGTATCTAGCCACCACCAGGCTGAAAAGACCCAGTTCCCTCAGTCTCGCCTCATATAGCTTTCTTGTGGCTCTGACTCTAACCTGGCTATATCCTTCCTGTAATGTGCAGCCCAGAACTGAACATAATACTCCAGTTGTGGCTGTACCAGAGTTGTATAAACTGGTAATAATACTTCCCTTCATTTAGAAGCCACGCTTCTGGCTATGCAACCAAGGGTGGCATTGACCCTCTTGACCACCACGTCACACTGCTAACTCATGTTTAGCCTGCACTCAACCAGTACCCTGAAATCCCTTTCACAAGTGTTGCTCTCCAGCCACTTGTCCCCTAACCTGTAGTTAGGACAACCATTCCTATGCCCCAGTGCAAGATCTTGCACTTATCCACATTGAATGCCATCCTGTTGACCTCTGTCCTCTTCTATAGTCTGTCCAGATCCTTTTGGTTCTGGAGTACCTGCTCTTCAGTTGTGGCCACTGCCCTGGTTTTAGTATTGTCTGCAAATTTCATCAGCAGACTGGTCACCCTTTCTTCCATTTTCTTGATGAAAAGATTGAACAGGATTGGTTCCAGGGCAGAGCCCTGGGGGACCGTGCTCATCACTGACCACCATCCTGATGATTCCCCACTAATGGTCACCCTCTTCTTTCAATCAGTCAACCATGCCCTAATCCATCGGACAGTGCATTGGTCTATCCCAAAACTCCTCAATTTCTCAACCAGGATATTATGCCACACTTTGTCAAAGGCCTTGCTGAAATCCAGGTAAACTATATCCACCACATCCCCTCCATCTAGTCCCCTTGAAAGCTTGTCATAGAACTCCACAAGGTTTCTCTGGCAGGACCTGTTTTTACAGAAGCCATGTTGCATGGCTGCCAACCTCCAATCCCTATCTAGGGTTACTGGATCTCTCCCTATTATGAGCCTTTTCATTGTCTTTCCCACAATGGATATAAGGCTAACTGGTCTGTAATGCCCCATGTCCCATCTATTACACTTTTTGAAAATTGGGATCACTGACGCCAACCTCCAGGCCTCTGGAACCTCCCATTCTCCATGAGGCATCAAAAATGGAGGCCAGTGGGCACAGGAGGACCTCTGCCAACTCCTAAAGTACTCTCAGGTGTAACCTGTCAGGGCCCGGCATCTTTGTAATGTCCAATGCCCTGAGGAGCTCCTTGACTTCTAGGGAGGTGACTCTAACCTGATCTCCTATGCAGATCTCCCCCATCCTGCTTTAGAGAGAACACAGAGGCAAAATAGTCATTTAGATGAGTGGCTTTTAGTTGTGCATATTACTTGTTCAGGGTTTTATAACACATCTGGGGTGCAAATACCAAGAATATTATGTGTCAGAAATATGAGAAATACCCGATCATGTAGCTCTTCTTATTGAGCATCTTTTTAACAAAGCAACCATGGGAAAGGGGTTGCAATCAGGATTAGGACCATGGGGGACTGGGTGATTTAAAAATATCTTTGCAATGGTTAATAAATAACTAAATAAATGGACTCCCAGTGTCAACAGCAAGGATAGGCATGGTTGGATACCTGCTAAGGGGATACATCCTAGTAGGGTCCCACTGACAGAAGCTTCCTGGACTGGTTTCCTCATCTCCCTCACTTCAGTCTGCTTATTTATCCCCCCTCACTCTGGCCCAGATAATGGTGGGGTTGAGGAGCAGCAACCGCAGATATTGCCCTCTTGCTCCCTGATTTTCTGCCTTTGAAGCAAGCAATTGGTAACCATTACAGGAAAGAGGATGAGAAGGTAGAGCAGCTTGTGACAATGGAAGCTAGTCTCACTGAAGAAAGCCCCCCACCCCCACCCCAGGCTGTCTTGCCTGGAAGCCTCCAAAAACAGGCACTTCTGAAATTATGCCAAGACCTTCCCTTTCTTATAAGCCATCAGAGAGGCAGGAGGAGAAGAAAACAATCCCTGAGACCTGCTCCTATTTGCACAGTAGTACAAAGAAATGTTGGAGAAAAGCACTCCCTTAACCTATGGGTAATAGTTATCAGAAATTGTCCAAAGGTAACCAGTACATGATGTAACCAGAAGTGGAAGATGGAACAGAAGAAGGCTATGCTACACAAGTTGGGAGAATCCACTACACAAGATGACCAAACTCTGAATATAAGTTCTAGCGTTATGTTCTTTAACTGACATTTTTCAATTTTATAAGATACAAATACAAATAAAACATCATACAATAAATAAAAACACACAATACACAATATATATATATATATATATATATATATATATATATATATTAAAAATACAGACATTCTTAGTGTATCCCTCCACCAAGAGTATGCATGCCTAGTATTTTTTTCCTTCATTTTTCCACTCTTTTCAAGATACCCCCTTCCATCCAAAACTGCAAAACATCCTTTATTACCCTCCCTTTTTATTAATACATGCTCAACAAACAAACCCCATATATTGTTAAAATCATTCTTAACCAATCCTTTTTTACCTTTATCTCACAAGTCAACTTGTCATTATCTGCTATATTCCAAACTTCTTTATACTATTCAATTAACTGGAGGTCCCATTTCTCCTTCCAATTCTTTGCTATTATCAGTTTTGCTGCTGATACCACATTTATTATTCATTCTTTAATATTCCATTTCCATTTATTTTTCACAAAACATTTGCAACAAAGCTATTTCAGGATTTGCTTCAGTTTTTAAGTTCAGTATCTTACTAATATCCTTAAAAATCATTATCCAAAATTTCTTAATATTCTCACCACATATGGAAATAGGTACCTGTATTTTGTCCACATCTCCAACATAAATTAGAATATTTAATATCCATATAAAATAATTTAACCAATATAATTTACCATTTCCATACAAATTTATTTAAAAACCCTTAATTCTAATCAACATATCTGAAATATTCTCTTATCCCATATTTTTTCCCAATCATCCTTGTCCTTCCCTAAATCTAATTCCCATGAAATTTTTAAAAGATCATATATATCCTCCCTGTCTAATAAAATATATCTTGCTTATAGCCCCCTTGCTTGCATTCTGCCTCTAATCTCCCCATTCATCACAATCTCCTTAAATTTAGTAAGGTCTCTATTTTACCATTTTCTGCAACTATTCTCTAGTCCATTGTTCCAATGCATAACATTAAACCAAGTTAATTTTCCTTTTCCAAATAATGCCATTATCCTTTCCTTAATATCCATTTTCTCCATCCAGTCTTTTACCCTAAATATTTGTTTTTCTTTTAATACCTTTCATAGGCTAACCCTGAAATTGTCTGGAAATCCTCTAATTTCTGTAACTGGAATTATTGGTGAGGTGACTGGCATAAATTGTTCCCTTCCATGAATTCTTCACATATCTTTTTTTTTTTTTTTAAAGGGGATTTTCTATCCTTTTTACACTCTTCTCATCTTGTTTTAAAAGAACGTTTAGAAAATATCCTAAATTGCTGTAATTTCTTATTTCAGATTTTAATATATCAAACTTATTCTTTTTTAGACATTGAGTATTTTTTAAATATTGATACCTAAGTATTTAATAATATCACATATCCTAATCTGATTTTTGTTAATTCCTTCCATTTCTTCCCTATTGCAACTAAACAGCATTATCTCTGATTTTGCCCAGTTAACCTGTAACCCTGTTATCTCACCAAATTCCACCAAATGAGTTTTATTCTGATTCATAACTTTGAATGGATCTTCAGCTGTTAACCTGTTAAACATACAATAGGTCATCTACTCTATGCACTTTAAGGAAAACAACCCTACCTTGTTTATCCTCCTCCTCCAAGTCACTCTCTCCATATCCATCACTTTCATCTTGTTCACTTTCAGAGGCCTGCAAAGCTTTCCGTGATGACTCTGTATTTTCTCTTTCATGGTCTAAATTATGTTTTTCATCATCCTTGGGTGACTTTGACATTGCATTCATTTGATCATCAGCCTGTCCTTCTTCATTAACTTTCCCATCTGATTTTTCATTATCTGTTTCAAAATCTTCATCATATGCTGAAATAAAAGGACAACTGTACTGTGAAAATGGGAGAGGGAAAGGAATACATACTACTTGAAGTTCTCATTGGGTTAAGTTCATTAACCTTAGTTCTCCTTTGCATTTGACCCTACCTGCCTGTCTATTAAAAAAAAAAGTTAAAATGATAAGCCTTTAATTGAAAGTGTACATTGGACTATGACACAATACTGTTAAAAACCTATTTTTGTTATGCCTATTAAGCAGATGAGGGACACCTAGCCAATTCTGATGTAGTTTATTTCATCCAGCATTAAGTTCTGTAGATGCATTTCTTTGAAGAAAAGACTGACTGGGACCTAGAAATTTTGTACATTCTAAATTCATGGGAATGTTGTAAGAGCCTTTTTGGATCTTGGTAGAGCAGCGGAGGGCAGTGGAGTGAGGAGAGAGTGGCCAGGGAACTGGCAAAGGCAAGTTAGGAGCTTGGGCAGAGGATTGGGTCAGGGGGAGGAGGAGTGGAGAGGAAGGAAGGCTGGGCTAGAGATGCCAGAGAGGCTCAGAAGGAAGGGGGGGGGCAGCTGTCTCTAAGGCTTATAAAGTTGCATTCAGCTGTTGGTGGCACCAATGGACAACACGACAAGGGTGCTATTGTAGCCTAGGCTGCTCAGAGACTCTTCCCCTGTGTCATTGTTTTTCATTGGTTTTAATTGTTCATTTTGTTGTGTTGTCTTTTCTGTCTGGGAGAACAAGGTGAGGAAAGTCAGGTAAGGGTAGTGAAGGATAGGCAAGATGGGGGAAATAAGTAGGGTCTGCCATGGCAGGAGCCGCAGGTGTTGCTGTCAAATGCGACATTTGTGCCAAGTTTGTCTTTCTCCCTCAGGAGCAGCAGTGGTATATTTTCTCCTTAAATAAACTCCTTTGTTTTATGATACCAATGTTAGGGTAAGTGTGGCAATTTCAGTGGAAAATGCATGAATATAAAAAGGAAATAAATCCTTTCCTTTTCTATTGGTTTCCCCTGCAAATTTCTCCCCTGTACTGTTATTAACAAATTTGTTTTAGGAGAGAAGTATGTTTGCAAAGATAGTATGCAGTTCTACCACAAAACATCTAGTTGTCAACAGAGGTCCCACGGTACTGGTAAATGTACTTGCTCATCACAATAGTCCATTCTTTAACAATTCATTCATAAAAGACTATATAATATGAAATCATAGCTTCATTTATGTAGGTTCCCTACCCTGCATCTCCCCAGATCTTTTGGTCTCCAACTCCTATCAGACCCAACCGGAATGACTAGGTAGCTTGAAATGCTTATAGTCCAAAGCACTGGACATCAATGTTTAAAGCTGGACACCGGATGAGAAAGGCTTTCAAGGCGACATGGTGATAGCACACCCGATTTGCTATCACAGAAACAATGGACTATTCCGGATGAATAGATACCACCCCCAGCAGAAAAATCAATGTGCCTGTGCAGAGAAAACATAAGATGAAATTTAACTGTAGGAAATAGGGTGCTACCTTTGGCCTGACCCCAAGAGACTCATTTTTATGTTGTTGCTGACCTGTTGTTGGTTTGATATGAGAAAGACAACTGCAAATATGCAGATATGGTTCATTATGCATTTCAAGGAAACTTCATCAAGAATGTTGAATGATTCTTACAAAAATTGATTTGGGGACATTATTTGTTCTAGCCTTCTTAACCAGACATTTTGTCTTTCTTGTTTCTGGACTTTAAGGGTGGAAATGACCCCCTTCTGTGTATGGAAAGACTTTTCCATAAGCAGAAGGGCAGCTTTAGATCACATCCTCTCCTTTGCAATCAGCTCAAAACCATGTATAGCTATCATACTCTGACATCTATGCCACAAATGTAAATCATTGCTCACATTTCTGGTAATTAGGCACAAATTATAAAATTTATGTATGGTCCTCCACTTTCTCAACCATGGATCCTTGCTGTGTTAAGATGTCCAGTTCAGCCTGAGAGATCCTCTTTGAATGGTTTAATGATGTCCCCATAAACTGGGTACAATGAAATATTTTGACTACTTCCCATATTTAACTACCACTTTGCAAAGAAGCAAAAAAAAAAAAAAAAGTTACCATTAAAGAGAAGCTGAAACATCTTAAGCTATCCCTTGGGACCACATCTTCCTCACCTCTCAGGTTTAATTATTCACCCCCTTTTTTCCTATCGACTCTTCCTCCATGTTCAAAAGATAGAATGCTAAGAAGAAAAGGAAACAGGTAAAAAACTTGTACAGAACCAATTAAGCAAATAAGCTGTTATGTGTATTGTTGTTAGTCGCAAAGTCGTGTCCGAACCATTGCGACCCCATGGACAACATTCCTCCAGGCCTTCCTGTCCTCCACCATCCCCCGGAGTCCACTCAAGCTCACACTGACTGCCCCAGTGACTCCATCTAGCCACCTCATTCTCTGCCGTCCCCTTCCTCTTTTGCCATCTATTGTGCCCAGCATTAGGCTCTTCTTCAGGGAGAAATTCCTTCTCATGAGGTGGCCAAAATATTTGAGTTTCATCTTCAGGATCTGGCCTTCTAAAGAGCAGTCAGGGTTGATCTCCTCAAGTACTGACTGGTTTGATCGCCTTGCGGTCCAAGGGACTCACAGGAGTCTCCTCCAGCACCACAATTCAAAGGCTTCAATCCTTCAGCGCTCAGCCTTCCTTATGGTCCAGCTTTCACAGCCATACATTGCAACTGGGAAGACCATAGCCTTGACTATACACACTTTTGTTGGCAGGGTGATGTCTCTGCTTTTTAGTATGCTGTCTAGATTTGCCATAGCTCTCCTCCCCAGGAGCAAGCGCCTTTTAATTTCTTGGCTGCAGTTCCCATCTGCGGTGATCTTGGAGCCCAGGAAAATAAAATCTGTCACTACCTCCATTTCTTCCCCATCTATTTGCCAGGAAGTGAGAGGAATGGATGCCATGATCTTAGTTTTCTTAATGTTGAGTTTCAAGCCAACTTTTGCGATCTCCTCCTTCACCCGCATCAAGAGGATCTTTAGTTCCTCTTCACTTTCTGCCATGAGAGTGGTATCATCTGCATATGCGAGGTTGCTGATATTTCTCCCAGCAATCTTAATTCCAACTTGTGATTCCTCTAGCCCCACCTTTCCCATGATGTGCTCTGCATATAAGTTAAATAGGCAGGGAGACAGTATACAGCCTTGCTGAACTCCTTTCTCAATTTTGAACCAATCAGTGGTTCCGTGTCCAGTTCTCACTGTTGCTTCTTGACCCACATATAGGTTTCTCAAGAGACAAATAAGATGGTCTGGTACTTCCATCCCTTTAAGAACTTGCCACAATTTGTTGTGATCTACACAATCAAAGGCTTTAGCGTAGTCAATGAAGCAGAAGTAGATGTTTTTCTGGAACTCCCTAGCTTTCTCCATGATCCAGCATATGTTGACAATTTGATCTCTAGTTCCTCTCCCTCTTCGAAATCCTGCCTGTACTTCTGGTAGTTCTCAGTCCACATACTGCTGGAGCCTAGCTTGTAGGATTTTGAGCATCACTTTGCTAGCATGTGAAATGAGTGCAATGGTGCGGTAGTTTGAACATTCTTTGGCATTGCCCTTCTTTGGGATGGGGATGTAAACTGACCTTTTCCAATCCTGTGGCCACTGATGAGTTTTCCAAATTTGCTGGCATATTGAGTGTAGCACTTTTACTGCATCGTCTTTTAGGATTTTGAATAGCTCAGTTGGAATGCTGCCACCTCCACTAGCTTTGTTGTTGCTCAGACTTTATAAGGCCCATTTGACTTCACATTCCAGGATGTCTGGCCCAAGGTCAGTGACCACCCCATCGTGGTTATCAGGGACATTAAGCTATTTCTTGAATAGTTCTTCTGCGTAATCTTGCCACCTCTTCTTAATCTCTTCTGCCTCTGTTAGGTCCCTGCCATTTTGGTCCTTTATCATGCCCATCTGTGCATGAAATGTTCTCTTCATATCTCCAATTTTCTTGAAGCGATCTCTGGTCCTCCCTATTCTATTTTTTTCTTCTATTTCTTTGCACTGTTCATTTAAGAAGGCATTCTTATCTCTTCTAGCTATTCTTTGGAATGCTGCATTCAATTGGGTGTATCTTTCTCTTTCTCCCTTGCCTTTTGCTTCCCTTCTTTCCTCAGCTATTTGTAAAGCTTCCTCAGTCAGCCATTTGCTTTCTTGCATTTCTTTTTCTTTGGGATGGTTTTAGTTGCTACCTCTTGTACAATGTTGCAAACCTCTGTCCATAGTTCTTCAGGCACTCTGTCTATCAGATCGAATTCCTTAAATCTATTTGTCACCTCTACTGTATATTCATCAGGAACATACCTGAGTGGCCTAGTGCTTTTCCCTACTTTCTTCAACCTAAGCCTACATTTTGCAACAAGAAGCTCATGATCTAAGCCACAGTCAGCTCCTGGTCTAGTTTTCACTGACTGTATAGAGCTTCTCCATCTTTGGCTGCAGAGCACATAGTCAATCTGATTTCTGTGTTGACCATCTGGTGATGTTCATGTGTAGAGTTGTCTCTTGGGTTGTTGGAAAAGAGTGTTTGCTATGACCATCGTATTCTCTTGACAAAATTCTACCAGCCTGTGCCCTGTTTCATTTTGTACTCCAAGGCCAAACTTGCCTGTTATTCCAGTTATCTTTTGGCTTCCTGCTTTAGCGTTCCAATCCCCCATGATGATAAGGACATCATTTTTTGGTGTTAATTCTAGAAGGTGTTGTAGACCTTCATAGAACTGGTCAACTTCAGCCTCTTCAGCACCAGTGGTTGGGGTGTAGACTTGGACTACTGTGATGTTGAATGGTTTGCCTTGGATTCAAACTGAGATCATTCTGTCATTTTGGAGATTGTATCCCAGGTCTGCTTTTCCTATTCTTTTATTGACTATGAAGGCTACTCCATTTCTTCTGAGGGATTCTTGCCCGCAGTAGTATACCTGATGGTCATCTGAATTAAATTCACACATTCCTGTCCATTTTAGTTCACTGATTCCTAAGATGTCGATGTTCAGTCTTGTCTTCTCCTGTTTGAATCCACATCCAGCTTGCCTGGATTCATGGATCTTACATTCCAGGTTCCTATGGAGTATAGATTTGTGCAGCATCGGACTCTCCTTTCACCAACAGATACATATGCAACTGAGTGTCCTTTCGGCCTTGACCCAGTCACTTCATTCTTTTTGGCGCTACTAGTACTAGCCCTCTGCTCTTCCCCAGTAGCATATTGGACACCTTCCGACCTGAGGGGCTCATCTTCAGGCGTCATATCTTTTTGCCTTTTGGTACTGTCCATGGGGTTTTCATGGCAAAGATACTGGAGTGGGTTGCCATTTCCTTCTCCAGTGGATCACGTTTTGTCAGAGCCCTCTGCTATGACCTGTCCGTCTTGGGTGGCCCTGCATGGCATCGCTCATAGCTTCATTGAGCTATGGAAGCCCCTTCACCATGACAAGGCAGTGATCCATGAAGGAGATTATGTGTATAGTGGTGCTTAAATACAAAGTAGATTTAATAATATTGATTGTAGTTTCAGATGCATGTGGGGCAGAAGGGTATTCTCCACAGGTAGTTGTCAGAGAGGTGTCCAACTCGTGAAGGGGAGATGTAACAAAAGTATACAACTACTAACTAATGAGAAAGTTGCAAAATAAACGTCAAGAGTAGGACCTGGGGCCACTATACGTACAGAGACAAAAAGGCATGGATATTTCATGAAGATGCATCACATCCAAAAAGAACCAAAGGAGAAAAGAGCCCAGATGAGCCTTAGATTAACATACAGAAGGGGAAGTACTTCTGAAGGCCTACCCGCAGAACCCAGCACTGCTCTGTCCTTTGCTCTTCTCCTTGTCAATTTTGGATGAACCCAGTCACTGGATATGAAGTCTGAAAATAATTATTCATGCCAAGAGTTGCATTGACAAATGAAGCATGTGAGGCTGAATGCTTATGGGCAGCACTGTGTACCTCCAGACCATGCTCTGGTCTTTATGGCACTTGTTCTTGGAAAATCACCATCTCTAGTTTTGTTCCTATTTTTGCCATGGTGGGGAGTTATTCCATCTTCCTCATTGCCCAATCCTGGGGGAAGAATTTTGTCATTTTTTCTGATGCAAATTCGTCAAAAAGTCAGATACATCACTACACATACCTTACAGATTACAACCTTTGCTGTATTATCTGTAGGGAAAAGAGGTCTCATTACATACCCCAATACGTTTTTGTGTCAAGTGAGGTGATAGTGATCTATTGAACTTTGTGCTCTGCTTGATTATTTTGATGATGTATGAAGTAGATAAGAAAAAAGGTAGAGGAAGCCAATGGGGTTTTAAAAAAAAGCATACGGATGACCTGGAATCATAAAGGACACATATGGGAAGAAAGGCAGGTAGCATGGAATTGCAGGGATGGAGTCAGAAAGGCTAAAACCTAGAATGAGCTGAGGTTAGTGAGGAATGCTAAAAGCGACAAGAGCAACCCTTCTTCATGTATGTGCCTAGTGAAACACCAGATCTTTCATCTGTCTTTCAACTACTCCATGAGGATGGAAAATGAAAATAATTACAAAGAAAAGGCAGAAGTACTCAAATCCTACATTGGCCCAGTCTTCTCCAATAACAGGATCTATGGTCTCCCTGGAAAAGGTGACATACAAGCTAAAAAGGCAGGATTGCAGCTTGAGGTTGATAGGCAAATAGTCCAGGGACAATATGACAATGGAACCAATTACCTAGAGTGGTCATGGGGTCACTAACACAGGAGGAATTCAGGATGAAGCTGGACAACATCTATCAGCAGTGTTTTAAACTGGAGTCCTGCACTGAGCAAGCAGTTGGACCTCACGGCCTTACTGGCCTCTTCCAACTCTACTATTCTACGATTCTATGTTGCTACTATTATAAGCTACTTTTTGGATCTGTATGGGCAAAGCAAAGGAGAAATTGCTAGGAAAATAATTAAATAATTGGCTACAAATATCCTCCTAAATAATAAAGAGCTCCATAAAATTGTGAAGGGTACATGATACTGAAATTGTTGATAATTCATTATTGTATCATAGGAACCTTGCTGTTAACGACACATGTTATTTACCCTGTCACACACCATCTGTGCATGTTCTCTTGTTTAGAAGCATGAGAAAACTGTGGGATCAGTTTGGTCTGGTCTGGGCTGGTATAACAACTGTGGAAATGATGTTATGCCAGATCAGAGCAATGACCCACCTAGGCTGCTCTCAGGCCCTCCAATGGACAGTGATTTTCCAGAATCTCAGGCAGCAGAGGAGCATTCCAATCATTTACTGAGCTCTTTTGAACTGGAAATACCAAGGAATGATCTAAAACTTTCTGCCATGCTGAGTATGCTATCAACCTCCACTTCCATACCATACCATCAGTAGTTAATCTCTTCTGGCTCGATTCATATGCATCACTGTCATCACTGGCTTTTTGTATTGCTCCTTTCCTTGTCTCCCATTCAATTTCTTTCACAGATTCTTTCTGTTCTTTGGCCATGGGGGAAAACAGTGATGTTGTAACGTTCTTTTCCTCTCCACTACTGCCACTGCTTTCTCTTAGCTCGTATTTCAGGTCTTCATTCCAGGAGTCCTCTTTCTTTGTTTCATCATCAGTCACCTTTTTCTTAGGAGGAGAAGGCTTTCTGTCCAGACCCATTGCAATGATACACCTGAGCAAAAATTGTGAGATTTTGAATACAGACATGTAATAATGGAAGGATATGAAGCAAAGACCCTCTTATAGCATCAAAGTCAATAAACAACCCCCCCCCCAAAAAAAAACCCAAACAGAAACAACACTTGGTTGGATGTACAACAACTGATAAAATACAATATAGAGTATAAATGACTGTTAGAATATCATAAAATTTCACTTAAGGTTTAAAACCAAATTTTAACAAGGAGATTCATACTGCTAGGCCTGTAAAAAAAACAGCTGACAATACCACCCTATATGTTAATTAGAGTTGGTAAATACCTCATCACAGAGGGTAGTCTTCACCTGGTCCTGAAAGTATAGTCAAGCTGCAGCAGGTGAAGCTCAGTGAGGAGATGATTCCATAATTTGGAGGCTATCACAAAGAAGGCCCTTTTCTTTAATGCTATTGTTGAGTCTCTCTGGAGGTAGCATTCAGAGGAAGACCTTAGATGCTGAGTGTAGCATCCTAGTAGATTGTGGTTAGGAGAGTCATTTTCTCAAGTATTGTAGTTCCAAACCATGTAGTCACAATACGGTTTTCCTCTTCCCATCACATCAATTTTTCTTTATGTGTCACATCATTTTACATTGTAAGCCTATGGGCTGCAGCTGCCTTGTTTCACATAAATCCCTCTAGATGTCTGTTTGGATGAGGGACAGGTTTAAAATAATCTAAATATCTGGGGAAAGTGCCCATTTTCATCTCTGTGCTACTAACCAATTAGCTGACTTTACTTGAAAACTATGTCATGCTCAGGATGCTCAGGTTTTGTTTGGTTTTTTAATACAGTAATGCCCCATACTTTAATTGGAATATGATAGGTATTCTTTTCATTATTATTAGGGTTAGGGTTATTTTATTTCTATGTCACTATAAAGCAAGTTTTCTGGTTGGTTTACAAAACTCATAAAAACACAGAACACAAATACAAAGAAAAAATATCACAATGTTTTCCAATGTATAAATTTTAATTAATGATTTTCCATATAAAACCCATGTTTGAGAAAAGTATCACAAACAGGTTAAAGTATACTCAGTATGTGTAAAAAGCCCTACATCGTGTATGATGTCAGTTTTTTTAGGCAAAACCTTGGGTATAATTTTAGACTTGTAGATGTGTCATAAGTAAACATTCTTCTCCAAGAATGTTTTTAATCATTTTATATTTTCCCATCAGCTTCTGGAGAATAAATTGGCAAGGAAACATATCCATGTGGTGAATTTGGGTATTATTGAAAAAATGCAGTCATCTCTAATTTGGATGCTTTCCACTATTCCAAAATCCCTTATCATAGCAACAATAGCAAAATATTTACATAAATCATGCAAATCTTAGTCTGAAGAGGAAAGAAAGAGTTTCTGGATAGTGCAATATGTTTATCTGAAAAGTAATTTGGCTCTATGGGGTGGGAGTTCCTATTTCTTTCCTTTTCTCCTACTTTTAGTTGTTGTTTATTCAATATTTTATAGGAGGGAGAGCTGAAACTGGGAAATTTGCTTGACATTCTTCTGCATGATATTACTTTGCAAAACAAAGAAATGTTACACAAATTAAAAACTTCCTAGAAGAAAATGTCATTGTTCTTGTTGCCATTGATTGGTGGCAAAAGACCAAAAGGAAGACCCTGGAATCCCTACAGTCATTTCATTTGCAACATCAGCATAAAGCAGTACCTTTCTCAACCGGGGAAAGCCTGGAAGAACCCATCCTTTATAAGATTGGTGTGATCTATAATTTAATTTTTCAGTACTTATTTCAGAATTACCTTAACTTTATCAGGATCATGCTTTCTAAACAGGCCTTAAAAATACAGGTTAAATATAGGAATATCTGCAAACTGTAAGTGATTACCCTAATAGGAGGCATATCACAGAGCCAAAAATACTAAAAAGTCCATCTAGTTCAGGTCTGTGTGTTGACATCTCCATTTCCTTTTCAAGTGTGTCATGTATACAGCATCTATATAGATCTACATCTGTCTACACACACACTGTAAGTCTACTGTATGACCACCGTGACAGAGGATCGATAAAATGCAGACACTCTGCAAAGCAATCTGTACCAATTTGGGCCACAGGATCAGGGGAAAGGCAGAGGCACCAGCAAATGAAAGAGCTTCCAAAGAATCAAGCAACCAAGGAAGCCGTGCACTCTAAGGGGAAATTCTGCTGACCTTTCTTAGACATTACTTTTCACTGACAAATATCTTTAGTCTGTCATCTGAAATCTACATCCCAACAGATACTTCTGTAGAATAACCATGAAAACTAATGGGGCATTCTGCCAGCACTGATCATGAAGGCCCTTCCTCCCTCAACGGTCACCACCAGCAGCCATTTCAGCTAGGAAAGCAGGGCATCTCTTGAGCCCTGCTGAAAGACTTGCCTCTTGCTTCCATCCCCATTACCTTTTCCTGTGTGCCATGTATACAGCATCTATATAGAGCTACATCTATCTACACACACACTGTAAGTCTGCTGTATGACCACCTTGTTTTGCTGAAGAGGTGGATAGAAATATTTTAAATGACTAAATAAAGTCTTCCACCTTGTATGATGCCTTTACACATTTTTAGATCTGCAAACTATAAGTGATTACCCTAGTCTTTGTGGATAAACATTGTGGATAAACAAGCAGTACAAAGCAGATACCCCTAGTCTGTCCCCTGACCCAGGCAACCAGGGTCACCAGACTTCACATACTGAAAACAAGGCATGAAAGGTGAAACTTCGTACATTCAGCTGAGCATGTTTAGAGTTTTTGGTGTGATCATGAATCATGCCCATTGGGGTAGACAAATGCATGGGAGTTGCAGAATGTGTTCAGTCAAATGCACCCAGATGCACCCTTCAAACATTCTGAGATTTTTGATGAATTACAGTACAGAAAAACTTTAAATACATATACATACATACTTCAACACTAGATGTTAGGGACAAGGCTAGCATATACAACCTCGTGCTTTCTCCCATGCATCCTGAGATCATCTGGATAGCAACTCCAGAATAAAGCTTGTGTGTTTCAGGTTTGCTCCCAAAACATCCAGATTTCAGGCCAAAATTGAGAAGGCCAAAAGGATTAAAGCCATCTAAGAAGATGCTAATTGTCAGCTTAAAAATATGGCTCTGAATTGTTCAGTGCACTAAATAAAAATGAACCAAATTTCAAGTGTATACAACATTTCAGAAACTCAGCTGAAAGCTTGGTGTTTAGATAGCATGATTTGCTAATTTTGTAACCTTCCAAAGGTTGCAATCCAGACAGAATCCAGAGAATTTGAAAAATGGAAGAGTTCAGTAGCATTTCGGAAAGTAACACTGGTGAGCTTTCACTAGAGAGAAAAAACTCAGAAATCTCACAGGGAACTTGAAAGCCCTGACATTGTCCTTTAGGTTTGTGGTCTCTTTGTGCTCTTGGCAGAGCAGCAGAGCAGCAAAGACTGGGAGAGTATGCAGAGAGTGGCCAGGGAACTGGTGAAGGCAAGCTAGAAGCTGGGCAGAGGAGCGGGGGCTGGGGGGCAGAAGTAGCGAAGAGGAAGAGAGGCGAGGCCAGAAGAAGCAGATGGGTGGGGCCAGCAGCCTTTGAGGCTGATACAACTGCACTCAGGCATTTGCAGCGTCAACAGACATGGCGCCAACAGTGACATGACAAGGGCACTGCCCTTGTCTGCATCTCTTAGCTGAGGCCCAGGCTGTCTGAGGATTCTCTTCCCCTGGGGCATTTTTAATTTCTTGTTTGTGTATTTTGTCTGGTAGAGCTGGGTAAGTAAAGTCAGGGAAGGGTAGTGTAGGACAGACAAGGCAGGTGAAGAAGGTAGGGCATGCGAAGGGTACCCAATGTTAGGCCAGAGGCTGACAGGACTCCTACGAAGAGGGGGCCAGAACAGGGAAGATGGGTGGAAGGAGGAGGCCAGGCATCCCAGAGAAAGGAATCTATGGGAAGGAGTTGAGGTGCATGTACACCAATGCTAGGAGCATGGGGAAGAAGCAGGAAGAGCTTGAAGCAGTTCTGGGTATAGGAGGGTATGACCTGGTGGGGATCACGGAAACTTGGTGGGGTGAAAGGCAAGACTGGAATGTAAACATAGAGGGGTATCACCTGTTTGGAAAGGTCAGGAAGGGAAAGAGGGGAGGGGACGTAACTTTAAATGTAAGGGAAGGGATAGGATGCAATGAGATAGAAGATGGTACAGATGGGGATCTGGTAGAGGCAGTTTGGATGAAACTAAGGAGTTTTGACAGTGGGAGGGACCTGACCATGGGGGTATGTTATCACCCTCCAAGTCAACCTGAGCTTCTGGATGATGTCCTGATAAATCAGATTTGAAGGATATCTCAGGGGAGGGACACAGTAATTATGGGAGATTTCAGTCTCCCAGATATTAGTTGGGAGACTCACTCAGCAGTGACAGCCACAGATCATGTCGCTTCCTAGATGCTTTAGAGGGAGGGTTTTTCATGCAGATGGTCTGGGAAGCAACGGGGGGGGGGGGGATATCCTTGACTTGGTCTTGACCAACAGGGAGGACCTGATAGATGGGGTGCAGATTAGGGGAACTCTGGATGTGAGTGATCACTCCATCCTTTGCTTTGAGATCAGGGGAATGGGGATGAGCAGCATTTCAGGTATTAGAAGCTGGGCTTCAAGAAGGCCAACTTTGGTCAGTTGAAGGCCAGACTGGGGAAGGTTTCCTGGGAGAGGAGACTGGAAGGCAAGGGAGTTAGGGAGGAGGGCATGGCACTCAAAAGCGAATTCTTGGAGGCACAATACCACTAGTTAGGAAGGTGGGGAGGTGAAAGAGTGCTGCTGTGAATGCGCAATGGGGTGAAAAGAGGGATTAGATGCAAAAGGCACCTCCATAGGAAATTGGCACTTGAGCAAGTAGACAAAAGGGTGTGCTGGGAGGAGGAGGGCCGTTGCCCAAGGATTCTTCACAAGACTAAGGCTGATTATGAGCTGAGACTTGCAAAGAATATCAGGAGCAACAACAAAGGCTTCTATCAACATGTAAATAGCAAAAGGAAAGGGAGACAGGTAGTGGGACCACTAAATAAGGAGGAAGGGGATTTACTGTCTGATGTGAGGGAAGTGTGGCTTCTAGATCGAGTGGTATCCACTACCACTACTATACGACTCTGGTGCACCTGCAACTGGAGTACTGTGTTCATTTCTGGGCTCCACATTACAGGAAGGATATAGTCAGGTTAGAATAGGTGCAGCATAGGGCCACAAGGATTGTGGCCAGATTGCAGGGAAAACTGTATGAGACAAGATTGAGGGAGCTGGGTCTTTTCAGCCTGAAGAAGATGAGACTCCAAAGAGATCTGTCGGCGACATACAGGTAAGTGAGGGGGTGTCACACAGAAGTGGGTAGAGACCTGTTCTCCCCTGCAGAGGAGGGCAGGATGCGCTCCAACAGAGCAAAGCTCAGGGAACCAAGGTTCAATTTAGATGCCAGGAAGTACTTCCTGATGGTTAGGACCCCTAGGGTATGGAATGGGCTTCCACAGGAGGTGGTTGAAGTCCCGTCGGTGAGGGTGTTCAAGGATGGGCTGGACATGCACATGGTAGGAATGTCATGAGCAGAGCCGGCTGGAGCTGGGGTCAGACTAGATGGGCTGAGTGACCCCTTCTGACTCACTATGTTTCTATGTTTTTATGGTCTTTGTGTTAAAAAGAATTCTCCCTTCTTGCCTGGTCCTACTGCAATTACCATACCTCAACTCATTGTAAGGATCTGGAGCATGGGTAGTCAGGTAACAGACAAATGTACCGGAACCTAGGGAACAAGGCCAGATAAATGCATTCAATTCACAGAGTGGCTAGCATCAGGGCATGATGGCAGAGTCAGAGCAAGAAACAGTGGTCCTGCTCTAGCTTCACCATAATACTGTTCTACACAAGAGTAGTATGTCTGTATTGCTGTAGCCAGACGTATTAAGCCACACAAATCACATGAAATGTGTTCTGGCCCATTAATACTTATACTGGAACATATCTGAAAGCATTCAAAGCTGTCATGGGACTCCTTGTTATATAAGACATACAAGGATATGCTTCTGGAACCTGGAATCAGCATAAACTTGGATAGCAAAAAGATCTGGAGATACCCACCCAAAGCATGCAGGGCCCTGAGAATGGAGTCTAGTAGCAAATTCAAGTCAGATAAAGTTATATAAATGTAAATGGTTCATACCTATAGCAGGGTGATGATCTTTCTACATTGATGAAACCAAAATATCCATGCTTGCCACCCAGCCGAGTGCCCTTTCGATGCTTATATTCACAGCAAGAACTTAACCGGTCCACTTGTATCCCATTGAGATAAAACGTGAGGCTGAAGGGAAAGCCATAATGCCTCTTGGAGATAAACTGAAAAGTTTCTGCAGTTCAGGAGGGAAAAACGCAAGATAGTTTGGGCCTTCTTACCATGTTTAAGGTGGGTCAAGAGTGAATTTAAATGTACAAGAAAAGCATGTACAGCAGGTAGGAAATGGCATATTTGAACATTCTCCCTCATCAAAGGCATTTTGCATCTATGGAAAGGCAGCACTTCTGGAGAACACCAGGCTAAAACACTTCATTCTGTGCTTTTGACATGCAGGACTTTACAAAAATTCAAGTCTGAATTTTTCTATATGTAATGGCAGAGTCTAAGAATGCTCTGTGTGGTTTTCCTGCATGCTTCAGCTGGATCATAGACATGACAAGTTAACAGGTTACTCTTACCCACTGTTCTCGTTATGCTGCCACTAGATAGTACAGTGCTTTCTACCATACAACTCTGAATGTAAGAAGCAATTTTCTGCTCTCCATTTGGCAAGCCACTCCCCTTCCTTAAGCCTCAACTCATGAATGTAGCCTCCTTGGATATCTCTCTTTCTGAAAGGTTCACCCCCTATGCCTTGCTTGGGGTCAAAATTCAGCCCACCTGGAGTTCCCCAGATGACTCCACCCCATTTCCCAACCACTGGTAGGTTAGTGTTCTCATAATTTTGTGCAGTTTTCCCCTTGAAATAGGCTGGCAATAAGAGACTTAAGCTAAAATGGTTGTTCGCCTTTGGCCATGCCTGTCACTGAACTGCACCCTCCAGCTGAACAAGATTCTGCCTCCCCAGTCTAGGCTTACTTTATCAATTTACACAGTAGTAGTAGTGAATCTCAGCTACCTTTATCCTGCTTATTCCTTAACTCTTCCTCTGTTACTGCCTAGTTCATCTGATACAGATTAGGTGTGGCCTACATTTTTTCCACATTCTATAAAGCACTATGAACTGCTAGCTTAAAGAGAAAAGGTGTCTTTCCTCATCAATAACCCAATGCCATGGTACTAGATTAGTTCTACTCAGAGTGCTATGCTACCCTCATTTCCACTGTGGATTATACCTGGCACAGTTCTGCTTAAGTCAACACCATCACCATTGATCCATATTCAGAATCAAATCTCCACCATGTATTCATTTCTCCTCTGGAGCAATAAACAGATCACACTGATATAGCTTCTTATATACAGATAATTTGGTATTCATTTCATCCCTGAAAGCATTTTATTAACCATACATCTTCATCCAAAAATTAATCTTACCAGCTTTATTTTCTTAAATCAGCCTGTACATCCCCTCCTTCCATAATTTGCAAAAGTAATTGTAGCCTCATTTTCAGCAAGAAACAGTAAATCTAAACTCAGTTTGAGGCAGCTGGTATATAAGTCCCTGGACACACATAAGGAGCCTGAACTTTGAAAAACAATTTTGTTACCACTTCAATGGTTTATCCATATAAAATAAGAGTTTGCATGGATTGAAATGAACTCTTGGGCCTTTTCATGCTCACCTCCCTCCAGGAGTTTGCCTCTGTAAACACACACATTTTCTCCTCCGCAGTGTTGTTGATATATTTTTATTTCCTCCCGGTAATCTAAAAGGTCATAGGACAGGTGCACAGTTTTTCCCAAATAGACCATGGTAATATATGCATTGCTTTGTACTTGAGGCTTGTAGAACTTTCCCGTGTCCTACATCAAAGAGCACAAAACACCAGTGAAATATTTGCACTTTGTGTCCCATACCATGCTGTTTTGAGGTCCATTTTGTACTGGTGGCATTTAGCAAACACCTATTAAACATGCAACAAGATGATAGTAACTGGCAATTTGGCATAAGCAATTGACTCCATTTCCACTGAAAACAAAAGAAATTGCCTATTCTAATCGCCTATTCTATTCCAACCAAAATGGAAAGGGCTTAATAACAGGATCACAGTCAACCCACCTGGGCTGATTTTGGTGTATAGAGATTCATTCTGCAGGAAAACAGCTTCAGCCCAGGGTGCAGTGTATACTTCTGAGAAAGGTGAATTTGGAAGGGATCCAGAAATATGACTGCCAGTGTCATAATGGTTACAAACAAATGAATAATGTTGCCAGTAGCATTATCACCCTTTTATAAATTTATGGTGCAACCACACTTGGAATGCTATATTTAGTTCTAGTGGCAGAAGACACAATAAAGATATTGTAGAGCAGGGAAAAGCACAGAAATGGGCAAACAAAATTGTGAGGGGCTGTAGGAACTCCTCCATTAGGGAAAGTAACACTGAATCCCTCAGTGCATATAGTATATAGAAAGCAGATAGGACATGTTTTTGTCCATCTCTCAGGGTCATCTTAGGGTCACAAGGTCATTCAATAAAGTTGAATGGTATGAGATTCTGAGCAGATAAAAGAAAGCATTTCTTCACACACTACAGAGTTTGGAATATGTTGTAACAAGGTGTAGTGACAGCCATAAACCTGGAAGGCTTTAAAAAGAGATTAGGCAAGCCCATGGAGGATAAGTCTACGAACGCCTAGCAGTCATGTTGACTCTATACTACTTCCAGGAACAGGGGCATCATGCCTCTGAATGACTGACTATTCTGGTGACTGAAGAACAATTATAGGAGCATACTATTATCCTCATCTCCTTCTTGTGGGCAGCGTATAGGCATCTGGACAGCTACTGTGGGAGAAAGGATGTTGAAGTAGATAGAACTTGATTCTGCAGGGCGTTTCTTATGTAAAAGGTCTCAGGTTCAGCACCTGGCACCTGAAGACCCTGCCTGAAGCCTTGTAAGGCTCCTGCCAGTCAGTGTAGATTACACTGAGCTAGATGGACAAAACTTCAGACTTGGTATGAGACAGCTTCCTATAGACAGTATCCAATGGTGTCACTGCATAAGCAAAAACAGTACTACCAGAACTCCACTAAACCTTTCTATTGCACAATGAATGTTATTACATTCGAACAACTGGTTATAAAATTGGTTTTACAATTATGCAAAATGCAACTTGAGTAGGGTTCCCTGCTTGGGCACCATTTGGGACCAGGTTTCCACTAGTGAAACATAAATTGCTCTAGCAGAGTGACACAGTTAGCTACTCTGTTCCTTAATATGTGGAAATTCAGAGGAAATCTGCTGGCTTGTCCCAGGGCTAGCCAAAGACATGTTTGCTGCCTGAGGCACAGCAGTAAATAGAAACTGGCTCCCAAGACAAAATGTGCCATACTCAGGACTAATCATATTATTTTGGCACTTGAGGCTGAAAAGCCTTCCCACACCCTCCCCATGCATAGGAGGAAAAAAGGAACAAATAAATAAATATATAAAGAAATAACCATTTGTTTTCTTTTTCTTATTTCTTTATTGCATTTTTATACTGCCTGAGCAGGGCTGTCTGTTGTAAATCTACCATGCTCCTTTCTCAGACATATGGTATTGTCAAAGTCATATTCAACTGCTTTAGCCTAAAATATGTATAAAGTAGCCAATAAGCTGAAATGTTTCCTGACATAGGTAATTACAAATGTTCCTGGGGGAAATGAAACCTTTAGGAGAATGGCAACAAAGTTGAAATTAGTCAGGTTCATTCCTGACCCTCCAAAACCTTCCATATTTTCCACTTGCATAGCCCCTGATATTAATCATCATTCTAGCATGTTAAACTGGGGCCTGTTTAGCTGCAGACAAATAATATGCCCACTATCAATAATGGATGGCATACAAATCTTTTAAATAAATAAATAAATGCACTGTTTTCAGTTCTTCAGCAAAATGCAAATAAAATATATTACTCTGCCTTCTAAGAACCAAATCTTTTAAAATCAGCGTGTTTCTGTTTGGAAGTGCTTCCAGCATCTTATCTTAACTTTTTAAAAACATCTTCTCCAGCAGATACTAGAAAGAGGATACTCTTTCTTCCAGAGTTACAATTGGTAGATGAATCAATCTAGATTATCTAAAAATTGCTTAGGAAATAAGATATTGAGAAGAGTTAAGGTTAATGTTACTTCAAAATGAGATTCTGGAGCACAGATCAGAGCTATTCCCATAAACAGTGTGATATTATAAATATTGCCTTAATTTTCCAGGAAGGAAGAATCTGGATGAATCACCATTATTTTAAAGGAAATTAACTACATATTGCTTATTTATTTGTTTATTTACTGCCCAATAGCCAAAAGGCTGTCTGGGTGGTTGACAAAGTTAAAAAGATCATTCAACTAGAAACAAAAGCAATCTATAATAATCAAACATTAAAACAATAACCCCAAATAAAATGACAGTAGGCCACAGCAACCTCAGTAAAATTGTTCCAGAGATACAGCAGCAATACAATGTATAACACGGTATAAAAGTTGAGAATAAAAGTTAATTATTTAAATGCTGGGCAAATTCAGTTTTTACCTGGTGCCAAAACTAAAAAAGAGTAAGTGCCAGGTACACCTTCTTTAGGGAGCTGGTTCCATAGTTTGAGCATCACAACGAAAAAGGCAACCAGGCAACCACAATCTTCTCCTGAGAACCACCCTCTTTCCTTCCTTCAGAAGGTGCTACCTGAGAAGGACCTCAGAAGATGACCTTAGAGCCTGAGTAGGTACATATAGGAAGAGATATTCCTTCAGATAGCCTGCCCCCAACTTGTTTAGGGCTTTAAATGTGAATAATATTACTTTGAATTGGGCCCAGAGTTCAACTGGCAACCAGTGCAGCTGAGAGAAGACTGGTGTTATATGCTCTTGTGAGTCAGTACCCATTAACAGTCTGGTTTCTTTGTTTTGAATCAATTGAAGGCTCTGGACTGTTTTCAAAGGCAGCCCCATGTAGACTGCATTACTGTAATCCAGTCAAGGGTTTATCAGAGCACAGATCTTTGCTGCTAGGCTCTTTCTGTCTAGATAGGGTTGTAGTTGGTATATCAGCCTAAACTGATAAAAGGTGCTCTGTGCCACCAAGTCCACTTGTGACTCAAACAACACTTCTGGATCCAGGAGCACCCCCAAACTACAAACCTTGTCCTTTAGGAAGAGTACAACCCCATCAAGAACAGGTTGAATATCACTCAGCTAGACAGATGAACCACCTGCTAACAGCATTTTATCTATCTATCTATCTATTTATTTATTTATTAAAACATTTTTATGCCGCCCCATTCGCTGAAGTCTCGGGGCAGCTCACAACAATAAATTAAGACAATAACAATTAAAATATATACATTAGAATAAAATAAGCCGCCCTGGCCAAATAAAATTCAATAGTATTAACATTTCCACCTTGTTCAAATTGAGTCTCACTTTGTTGGCACTCATTGAGTTCAGCACCATGCTCAAACACTGATTCAGAGTGGCCAGTGCCTCACCTGGGTTTGATGAAAAAGAGAGGTAAAGCTGGGTACCATCTACATATTGATGACACCTCAGCCCATACCTTTGGATAACCTCCACCAATGGTTTCATGTAGATGTTGAATAATGCAGAGGATAAAATATAGGCCTGCCTGTGGTAATAATAAAAACAATAATGCCCCAGCAACACCTTCTCAAACTGGCCAGTCAAGTAGGATTGGAACCACTGCAATGCAGTACTTCCTACTCCCATCCCAACCAGCCTATCCAGAGGAATACTGTGGTCAATGGTGTGAAAAGACATTGACAGAGTCAGGAGAATCAGCAGGTTGCACTCTCCCTGTCTTTCTCCTGACAAAGGTCATCTCACAGAGCAACCAAGGCCTGGTTCAAAACCTGGATTTAGATAGTCAGTTTCGTGCAAGTGCATGAAGCTGTTCAGCCACCACCCACCACCCTTGCCTAGGAAGATGATGTTGGCTACAGGCCTATATTTGCTAACATCTTCTGAGTACAAAGTAGGGTTTTTGGTACAGGTGATAGGCCAGACTTGACCAAACACCTTGTCCACATCCCCAGGCCTCAATAACTAAAACTCATACAACAAAACTGGACTATTCTGGATACCTCTGTTAATGCTACTGTATTAATTGTGGTGTCAATTAATTGTGTTAATGACGAATCTGAGAGACTTTATCTTCAAAATGCTGTGCAATTTCATCACAGAAAGCTATCAATGGTTCCACAGTTTCTTTCTTTGGCCCAGATTGTAAAAGACCACAAACCACTTGGAAAAGCATTGCTGGATGGCACTGAGAAGATGCAGTGCTGGTGGAAAAGAGCTGCCTCTTTGCCACCCTCCCTGCCACAGATTAGGCTTGATAGTGAGCTCTAATTTGTATTTGATCTGACTCAGCACAAGTTTTCCTCCACCTGCACTCTAGCTGTCTCCCCTCCTTGTTCCATTGCCATCAACACAAGTATGTATCAAGGAGTTGACCAGGAAGAGGGCACTAAGGTACAATCATGTCAAGCCATCTCTACATTCTGCAGAGTGACTTGGTCTTCAACAGAAGTGCCAGTAATACTAGCCAGAAAATCCTCCAGAGCCCTCTGGAAACCATCAGGATCCATGAGCCTCTGGGGGCAGGCCATTTTAAGAGGTCCTGAACCCTTGCAGAAAGAAAAGGAGGTCTAAAGTCTAATCCTCAGTAGGAAGTGATCTGACCATGACAAGGGATTTGATGTTAGTCCCTCCACTTCCAGATCACCATCCTCCTGCCCAGTCAAGAAGACCAGGTCAGGAGTATGTCCTTTACATGTGTCAGGTCAATAGGATTAGGATTGTTTATGATTTGGGGAGGTGAGAGTTGGAGATAGACATCCCTAACAAAATTTATAGTATTTGTGTACTTCTTCATAGAAGAGCGCATCATGAAATGACTCATGGAGAAGCAAAGGGCAAAACCAAACAGAGGTGTTGGGAGGTAAAAGTTCTATTACCCTCATTAAAAATTGATCCAAACCATTAGGAGCTGTGGTTGGGCGAAACCGTCGTCCTCTCAATGTCACACCTTTCATTGCGTTGATGTTCTCACTTTTGGGTGGCAGCAAGGGTGGAATAGGTGTCACATAATTGTTAATGATGGGAAGTCGGTATGGGGATATTCCAGTTGAATAATCCATTGAACGCATAGGGTTTAACACCCCTTTGTCTCCCTGAAAATTTTTAACAGCAATTAGTATCCATCCTTAGTTTATCACTATATTTTGAACAGCAGTAAAGAGGAGCAGCAATTCCTTTTCCTAAAAGTTTCCTAAACATGTGTTTCAGTGAGTTAGGCAGAAGAAAACTCTAAGGGTTAGGAAAATGAGGAAACTCTCTGGGAAAGGGTGATAGGTGCAGAAGAAGACACTGTGCACCAGTGGAACTCTCAAACTGCTTTAAGTTACTTGAAGAAGAGACTAGTGAGAAACCCACTGTGAAGGAACCATATGACACGCTGTAACTCTGAAAAGGGGACAAAAGGTCAATCAATCAAGTAAGGGAAAAGATACCAAAATTTGCAACAAAAGAGAGTGATAGTTGTTGGAGAGTCCCTGCTACATGAGATGGAAAAATATGCATGTCAGGAAGTGTACTGTCTACCTGGAGAAAAAATCAATGATATAACTAACAGACTACCAATGCTTATACAACCTACTGACACACAACGCACTGACACACATCCCTCCCTTCTCATTCATGTAGGAGTTAATGACACTGCCAATAGAAGCTGTAAGTAAATTACATGACTTTGAAAACTTAGGGAGGAAATTAAGAACACTGAGTGCATGACCACAATTGCGCCCATCTTCCCTGCAGGAGCTCAACTGTGATCGTGGCCATCTCCCCACTGAGTACGCCTGTGTCGGCTCAGAGTTTTTTGGACTCGCCCCCCCCACAACATTCTGAGGGACAGTGAACTGGCCCCATGTTTAAAACACTGGCCATCACATGCTGGATGTGTGTGCTCAGCAGGCAACAGACCTCCCTTCCCTCAAGGTCAGGGCAGCACACCGTTACCTCAGTCCCCCTTAGCAGGGAGTCCCTGATGACGATCACCCTCCACCATCTCCTCCCAGTGGTGGTAGACAGCCATGCCCTGGCCTTCGCCTCTCCTGCAGTGGTTCAAAGAGTACTGCAAAGAGAAGGACCTTGGGGTTGTTGTAGATCACAAGTTAAACATGACCCAACATTGTGATGCAGCTGCAAAAAGGACAAATGCTATTTTGGGCTCCATTAATAGAAGCATCACCACCAGAACACATGAAGTACTAGTTCCACTATACTCAGCACTAGTCAGACCTCACCTGGAGTACTGTGTCCAGGTCGGGGCACCTAGGTTTTAAAAAGATGCGGAAAAGCTAGAAAGGGCACAGAGGAGGGCAACAAGGATGATTCGGGGACTGGAGCCGAAGCCCTGTCAGGAAAGATTGTGAGGACTGGGCATCTTCTCGCTCAGGAAAAAAAGACTGAGGGGAGATATGATAGCACTTACAAGTACCTGAAAGGCTGTCACAAAGAGGAAGGACAAGATCTCTTCTCATTCCTTCCAGAGTGCAGGACATGGAATAATGGACTTAAGAAACCAGTTTTAGACCAGACACCAGGAAGAATTTCCTGTTGAGCAATACAACAATGGGATGTATTGTCTTGGGAATTTGTGGACTCTTCCTCACTGGAGACATTCAAAAACCATTTGGACAGTCACCTAAATGGGACAGTGTAACTTAGTGTCCTGCAATAGCAGGGAATTGGACCCAAAGCCTTCTGGCCCTCTCCAACCCTACTATTCTGTTTCTATGAAGATACCTTGAGTTCCTTGAAGGGAGAAAAGGTGGTATATAAATTTAATTAAGAAGTAACATTGTCCATCAATACAGGAAGAAGTCCAACAAGCCCCACACAAACCTATGAGCCACCCGTTTATTTCAGTGTGTCATTTAGTCCTCACAAACCTGAAAACGCACTCAAATTTCCCTACAAACCAGCTCTCTGGTGTTAGTTTTCACTAATATTCACAGTTCCTTAAAGTTTATTTTTTTCTGTGCATGTTTCCTTTTATGATGCAAGGCATATGGGGAGGTAATCACACTTTGTGCACAGAGAAACATGTATGCCAGGAAAACATGTTTATAAACATGGAGTGAACATACAGAATCACCCAATTATTCCATATATTTACAAACATGTTACTCCTGTACACTGTTTCCTGAAAAAAATACTTCAGTGAACGCATTTGTTGCCTAATGTGTGCATTTGCATTTGGTAAAACATTCTAAGTCCGGTGATTATAAATATACTAATTACTCTCTCCTCTGTATTCTAGTCATGAATCTGACTAATCACATGCCAGATCAAGGAGGCTCAGTATGGAGACAATTACCAAGAAGGTGTGAAATCACTGGAATTGATTAGTAGTAAGATTCTGGACAGACAAAAGGAAGTAGAACTTCACACTGTGCTCAATCAATTTATAGAATTCACTGCTCAAGGATGTGGCAAGGGTCACTGACTTAGATGGTTTAATGGAGGATTAGACAAATTCATGAGGGGAAGATCAATGGGTATTAGCCATGGCAGCCAAATTAAACCTCCACGTTTAGAGACAGTGTAAATACCATCTGTTCTTTTTCCAGGAAACAGATCTCTGTAGCAGAGGGGATGCTAACAGAAAACGATTTTTGTCATAGTCCCACAGTGTCCTTACCTTCCAAAATCCTTGATCAGATCCCCTGTATCACAGCTGGTGAACATGTGGTTCTCTAGATGTTGCTGGACTACAAGTCCCATCATCCCTGGCCATGCTGATTAGGACTGATGGTAGATGGAGTCTAAGAACATCTGGAGAGCCACAGGTTCCCCAGTCCTGGATCACTTTACACTGAAGGTCAGCTCTCAGTCTTCAGACTAGACAAAAGGCAAGTGTCTGGGCTGACTGATTAGGAGTCATCAAGCAAACACAGTTACCCACAGAATCATATGCTGTCATCCCACGTATGTGCAGAATATGATACTAGACACAGAATTCAGCTACATTAGGAATTATTGTTTTTGTGTTTAAAAAAATAGTGTCTAGCTCACAGGATTGTGAAAATGTGCTTGAAGTACATTACAATCCTGGTGAAATTTCAGAACCCAGAGCAATTGCTGAACAAGATTTCCTTTGTAAGAGAGGTGGGTTCCACTGATTCTCATAATTCCTTCATCCACCCCATGACTAGCAAAATGATGATGAAATGATGTTAAATGACAAAAATCATATGAAAAACTGCAGACAAGAAGAAAAGAAGTTGTAACTTTGCTTAACTGGGTAATGCAGTTAGCAAAGCCAACCATTTCTGGCACATTGCTAGCTGGGCTAGGAGAATTTGCTAGTAAATGACAGCTTTTATGTTCTTGGAGAAAGGAATAGAGTAGCAGCTGCTGAGGGTTCAGAGTGTGAAAAGAATCAAAGCAGTGTACCTGCCTTGATTTTGCTTGGAAAAGTTTAAGCCAGGCTCCTCACTTAGGGAAGCATCCCTAATTTGAAGCCTTGTTGTATTCCTAATGCCTAGTTCCTGTCAGCCATACTGGATAGGAAGGGAAACAGCCTCTAAAACTTCATGTCTTGGCCTAAATGAAAGAGGCTGATGATTTCATTTTAGTTCCCAAAACTGAAAAAAACAAAGTCAAATATTTGAGAAATGTGCTTTGGTACAACTCTAGCATTGTAGAAGTATCTGAGCAATGTGATATGCTTAATTACAACCACCCACCCACCAGACCAACAACAAATTCTGCAAAGGCACAATGTGACACAGAGATGATACAGCACAGTGTTAACCATCAAGCGGATTAATCCAAATAAATACATTCCTTAGGCATTAAGAGAAAATCATCCAACAGCTAGCTTGCTTGCTTTCTACTATCCAAAAAAGGTATAGTAAGTGAACTGTTATGTTTGAAGGTACTGAACAAATCCATAATCATTCTTTCTATTACAGGGCTTGTAAAAAAGAGGAAAGTCTAACCCCACTGGCCAAGTGATGCTCTTTTTCAAGGGTGAGGAACTTGGATCTGGAACTCAAAGCAGCCTTGGGTGCAGATTCTGTTGTGGCATTGCTGTAAAGTGGCTGCAGTCGGATGGGATGCTGTATGTTTCCTGGTGCAGTGCTTGGTCGAGGATAGGAAACCTGGACAATTTAAATAAATGGAGGGGAGGGAACACTTAAGCCACACAAATTACTGAAACCCAAATGTCATTCTGTGCACGAGACTTGGAACATCTGTTTCAAAATGCGTATGCAAGTCCTGCACACAGTAATGTATATGCATTGAACTAAACACAAATTGTGTGTAACAGTTCACAGAATCAGACCAGGTGCTTTGTATACTCTCTTGTACATGGACAAATCTAATATTGGGAAATTGTGTAGATGGTGTTTGTATAAGAGATTCACTGTGAAACAAAGCAGCTTAAAAATACTGTCCTTCTACAACTACAGCATAAAGCCATTGATATAGCATAAGGCAGAGGCGGTGGACCTCTTTCAGTCTAATAACAAAATTCCATAGTTCTTGGGAGACACATTACCAGTGATGAATGGGAACAAACCCCAAAATGGCAGGAAAATACTGTATATAAACAAAACAGCAGTACATTTTAGCTTAGGAAAAGCAGTTCACCCTTCATGTGGGGAGAAAGAGTGGAGCCTGGGGAAGGGGACATGTACATCTGAGGAGCCTTGGAGGGGTCTCAAGGCAGGCTTGATTGATCCCTGGTCCTGATATTCTGCCTGCCTGCAGGTGTGCTTCTGGGTGGATAAGAGCAGAAAGCCAATAGATCCAACTCTAAGAAAACCAATGTGGCATAGAAGCTAAGGCAGGGGAAGCGCAAAATATCTTTTGCCTGAATCAAAGGAAAAGATGGCAACCTCACCACTATTCTGTGTACAGATCCCAGTGAGACTGACAGCTGAATCTTAGCTCAACAGTGGTGACAGGTCAGCAACCTCCATCACACATGTACAGCTCTTTCTTCACCAGAGGGAAACAAAGAGAAGAGCTGAAAACAAATAGCCAGGGAGTCGCCACTACTATTCTCCATCTTGCCAACAAACACATACCAGCATCTGCTACCTCACTTTGCCCAATAGTAGGGCTGGCACTGCAAGTCTGCTGGACCTGAACCAGTGAAACCCTACATTCTAATCCTCATTTGGCCTCAAGTCATACTGGATGGCCATGGATAAGTTCTGCCTGATCTGTTTTGCAGGATTGCTGTCAGCATAATATAAGCCAAATGTGTATGAATCCCTGAACGACTTGCTGGAAGGATAAGAGTGCAATGTGACTGATAGATAAAACGCTGTACTTTTCTCCCAATGCAACAATGTTGGAAGACTAAACATGATTTCTATTCAAACAGGGCTGCAGCCCATGGTGGTATAACTAGGAAACCCTAAGTAAGACAGAGCTGTAACCAGATAATTTTCAGCCTACAGATCCTCATTATAAACTCACCAAATGATTTGAGTGCCCTCTGTTGGCTAATTTGTGGCGCCCAAAGTGATTTCTTGGTACATTGGGTGGGTGGGGAGAAAGCAGGTGATTAGACTCTTCAGTTACCCTTCTTCGTTCCACCTAGTTGAAGGGAAGATTGAGAGGACTGAGAAAATGGCCCTGTTAGAAAATCAAAATGCTACTTTGCTGTTTGGGCAAATCTGTAGCTTTACTGGGCACATCAGGCAATGCAGCCAATACTTCCAGACCTCAGAGGAGCACCTAGACTAGCAACAGTCTTGAGAGAGTTGTGAAGAGACCAGACCACACCAGAACAGGTCAAGTAATAAACCATCACACAGTATCACCAGATGTGCATGAAGAACAGAATGTGTATATGTGAGGGAGGGTGGGTATGAGTGGGTGTGTGGGGGAAAGTAATAGTGCAAAAACTGAGTGAAAGTCACCATTTACAGCATAACTTCCATCAACCACAGCCCACACAGCCAATGCTCAGCATTTGTGGAAATGGTACTGCAAAATGTCTAGATGGCAATAAGTTGCCTACTGCAGGGGTGCAAAATCTGACCAAGCATACATTTCTCAACGTAATTCTTCTCATCCATGGCATTGTAAGTTCTACTGCTAGGACACAGAGCCATATTCATGGAATAGGTTTTCAGCATCTTGCATTATACAAATGAAAAATACCTACCTTGATTCTGTGAACACGTTCTCTCCTGGCAGAGTTTTCAAGTTTTCGTTTTATCTCAGCCTGGTGATGATGCTAGTGGGGTTTAAAAGAGAAAAAGAAAAAGTAAAGAAGAAACTGCATTCACAATAGTATTACATTGTCACAGGAAGTAGTAGGGGTTAGGCTAATTCTCATCACCACTCTTCAGATTATATTCTGTCCATGGTGGTTTCCTGCAAAAACCACAAGACCAAGAGACCAGGTTTCCTACCATCACCACCAAATGATTCTTTCAGTATGTATAACACTAAACTATGTGACTAAAACACTCAGACTACAATTTTCAGATTCAATTTGGGCAGACAAAAGAATTCTTGAGGGAATTCTTGCCACCAGGGCCAACTGTCATCAGCTATCCTGTAGGTAAGGAAGGGAACAAAAGAGTTTGTTTGTGCTGGACTTCCTCCCCCTACACAGGCCAACTGCCACCAACCTCACTGTGGAAAGGATCCTGAGAGCTCCATTCCATTACAATGATAATGTTTGGTGCAGTGGAGGAGGGAATAAAAGCAGCTTCCAGGCAACTTGACTCTTCAACATTCTTGTTTTATCATGTGTGTCATTGCACCTTATTACATACTTAACATCAAAGCTAAATATGAAAAATGGGACATTTTTCTAACATTGATCTCATTTTAAACTGCATGCCTAGTGTTCAGAGCTGAAATGAGAAAGGTTGGTGCCACTCATACATCAAGATTTACCAGGAATAGTATCAATGTTTTTCCTGAAAAAGGTGAGAAAGAACTGCTGCAATCAAGAATAATGGTTAAACTAAAGGCAACAGCATTCATGCAACTAGTCCACAACTACTTTTGACAAGAAGGCCAGTGCATGTTTATGCAGAAGTAAGTCCCATTATGCTCAGTGGTGCTCAGACCTAGGTACTTGTGAACAAGTTTGCAACCTAAACTTCCAAAACTGATCAGCTAGAGGAGCCTTTCCCAACTGGATGCATTCCATTAACCTGAGACATTACTATACTGGCTGGGAATGCTGACAATTGTAGTTCAACACAGCCAGAAGTCACCAGACTGGGGAAGTCTGAAATTGAGACTTCAGCTCCATGATCATTCTGTCCCTTCCTCTGCTTCTCAAAGCCCGTGATCAGAGACTACTGAATCCCACCCCTTTGCACTTAATGCCTTTGCCCACAATCCCCATTGATTCAGACCATTTTCCCAGCCTCTCTCAGAAAAGGGACTGGGGAGAAGGGAATAGCAAATTTCTTTGTACTCCAAACCAGGTAAAATGTTTCCTTTGTCTTCATTCGTGTCTTGATGGGGATTCTAGCAAATAGAGGAGATGGAGAAAGGGAAATACAAGTCCACAACACAATCCTCTTGGTAAATCCCATGGGTAAACAGTTAAAGACCACTGGGCTAGGTGATCCATAAGAACTCTTCAAAGGCCCTGGCTGTACAAGGTGTCTCTGTTGTGACAAGTTATCTGCTGGCTTGGGGAAAAGGAAGATGACAACCCACTGCTAAATGACTTCCATGTTGGTGTGTGACTGAGAAGGTACTTCCCTTAGAATTCCATGGTTCTAAGACAGTTGGTCTCAACTGCTGCTTTATGCCTATGTAAGAAAAGCAACAAACGGGTGTCTCAGACATGCCAAGTCTCGGTGGTGCATAAAAGCTGAGATCTTAGTAGACTTTGATGGGTCTGCCCCTGAGCACTACTATCCGAGGTTAACAGCTGCTAATCTTGTATGATATCAACCATGGGAGACAGACATCAGCATCACAAAGGGGAATAGAAGGCAGGAACAATCTAGTGGGTGGAACAAAGCCAGAATGAGGCCTACCTCCAGCTGTGCTTCTACCTTCTGTGGGAATGAGATAGTATTTGTGATTCCCTGTCCTTGCTCAGTTCTCACTTCCATGCTTCACTGTTCTTGCTGATTTTCCATGATTTTGGTGTTTGTGTGGATAGAAGTAAGCATCTCTATGATGGGCTGTAATAGATTCTGGAATACACTGATGCGACATAACCTCCTGCTGCCTTGCCTTCAGGAGATGACCATGTAGAACCTGCTGGCCATAGGGAGCCTTACATTCTGAGATGGCTGCTAGCTTTTCATTTCTGGCCAGTTACAGGTTATTCCACTATCCTTTCTTCCTCCTTTAATTTCCTTCCCTGCCGATATGAAATTACTGGAGAAAGTTTTCTTGTTGCCATTATTTATATAACATTTATTTCAAAGGCTCTCATGACCTGTTGACAAATAGGTGGTAGACAACCTATATGTTCAGGAGAATTCAAAGCATCCTCCTGAACATATTACAAGTTAGCCAATCTAGAATGAATGAAATCTGCTGATTCTGTCCTCACAATCACTAAGAAATTGTATTGGAACACTAACAGTCCTTAAATTTAGAAAAGGGAAGGGCAATATGTTGCCCCCTGGCACCAATGTGCTCCCAGGCACTTTTCTTGAAACCTGCCAAGGTGTCTTACCTCTCCCACTTAAAAATAATACATCTTCTTACCAGGAAGTAGGACAGCTGTGACTAGGTTTCTGCTGGTGCTGAAAACTTACTTCAGACAAGTTGTTTAGCGTGTAGGGAACTCTATGTAATCTTTGGGGCAGGAAACTATTCTTTTCCCATGGTTTCCATGATAGCCATTTTGTGGTGGTGTCCACAAACAGACTGCCAAAACGTTTACCTACTTCTGCTTAACAGAGGCAGTTCAATTGGGATTACTTCCTTTCAAACATTATGTTCAAACAACCAGGGTGACTATTCCTTCTCTTTTAACTTTTTTTAGAAAGTTCTTATAGTTTTTTAATGATCTCTTTGCTCATCTTTACTAATCTATAACAATTCCTTAACAGCTCTGCTAGTGTGAGAAATAGGTGGTTAGAATGCATTGATAACCTTGCTGCTAAAGTTGTGGGCTCCTATATCCACAGTGTTCTCATGTTAATGAAGTTATGCTCTTCACTACCAAAACAAAAAGTGAATTTTGCATGGTATTCTCCCAACAGTAAATTATCTCAACAATTCCGAATGAAAATGTGAATATTCCTTTCAAAGAGCCTTTACGAGTAGCCATAATGTATTCATACTTCCATGTCGAGGACCTTGTGGAATATGGCCTGCGCCAAACATTCTCGAATATATTTCTGATTATCCTTCCTCATGGCATTTAATCGGTATTCTTTCTCTGAGATTATTCTTCCACTTCTTGAGATCTGCCATGAAAAATTAAAATGTAAGTATGGAAGGTGGTGGAAGATACAAAATGAAGGTTATCAACATGTGCATATTGGCAAATCCAAGATATTTTAAAGGCCCAGGTGCAGATGGAAATCAGCACTGAATGTACATTCAGTATCAGTAAATATTCCATACGTATCTCAGTGTGTTTGCAGGACATTTTCATACATGCATCAGAGACACTTGATCAAAGTGCTCATGTGCCACATTGCACTCAATAAGGTAAAGATGGTTAAAGAATCACTGGCTGACTTTCCCTGCCATTTTTCTTCCCTTTCTCCTTACCTTCAAACAGAGGGTGTCTTCAGAGGACAGTATTCTGACAGCCAATAGATGAATGTTCTTTATAAAGTAGGAAATGAGGTGATTGGAACTCACATGGTGTGGCTGCTCTTATAGATTGAATTTCATGTGTTGCTAGGCAATAAGACCAGGATACAAAGGCACACATTGATGCATCCAAAGCACCTTTCATACACACTTAGCCCATTTTCCTTACCTCCTGCAGTTTCTTATACTGTAAACTAACACCATGCTTAAAGGTCACTCATTCTCAAAAGCAGCTTTTGGAAACACATGGTGGATATTGGAGAAAGTGGGAAAGTAGCACAGAGGCCATTGGAAGCCATTCTAAAACTTCATTTTGTGATTTAAAAAAAGAAAAGAAACACCCAGCATCATTAATTTATTGCACTGATGAGTCAGCTTTCATTTGAGAGCTGGAAAAACATACCAATTTACTAGATTAATGAAGTCACTCAAGAACAGCAGGTACTCTGAATCCAGAAGGATCTGGACAGGCTCTGGAAGTGGGCAAGGGATAAAAGGATGACTTTGCAGTTAAGCGCAAAGTCTATCACCTGGGGCATATGAATGGATGTCGTAAGTACAGGTTAGCGGACAAGTGGCTGGAGAGCAGCACTTGTGAAAGGGATCTCAGGGTGCCAGTCAACTGCAGGCTAAACATGAGACAGCTGTGTGACATAGCAGTCAAGAGGGTGAATGCCACCCTTGGATGCATAGCCAGGAGTGTGGCTTCTAGATCAAGAGAGGTATTACTACCACTTTCTACTACTCTGGTGTGCCTGCAACTGAAGTATTATGATCAGTTCTTGGCTCCACATTACAGGAAGGATATAGCCAGGTTAGAGTCAGTGCAGCGTAGGGCCACAAGGATGGTGGCTGGGTTGCAGGGAAAGCCGTATGAGGCGAGACTGAGGGAACTGGGTCTTTTCAGCCTGGAGAAGAGGAGACTCAGAGGGGATCTGTTGGTGACATATAGGTATGTGAGGGGGTGTCATGCAGAGGTGTGTCGAGATTTGTTTTCCCCTGCAGAGGAGGGCAGGACATGTTTCAGTGAAGCATAGCCCTGGGAACCAAGGTTCAATTTGGATGCCAGGAAGTACTTCCATACTCTTAGTGTATGGAATGGGCTTCCAAGGGAGGTGCGTGAAGCCCCATTGGTGAGGGTGTTCAAAGATAACCTGGACCTGTACATGGTAGGTCTGTCCAGAGCATAGCCAGCTGGAGGTCTGGGTCATACTAGATGGCCCGGGAGACCCCTTCTGACTTGTTCTGTTTCTGTGTTTCTAACTAATGCCTGGAAACAGAAGTATGGCAAGAAATCGCTTCATGTCAGGTTCATGCCATTCATGGGCTGCAATGATTTAATGTGGGTGTTTGTGCTACAAGCCCACACTCTGGGCCAAGATAGCAATTATATGCAGATCTAATCAATCCATGTCAGCAGTAGATCTCCAACAGCATTAAAATGGTTTGCTACTGTATTATTGATAGCAAGTCATGTTTATGAACATGAAACAAAGCTGCAGTTTCCATTAATACTTCTTCATCTGTCACTCCCAGTGTTAGACAATTTGAGCATGAAACACTTATTTTGCTTCAAATGTTACTTGAAAATGCTAAGTGCCTCATTATATGGCAAGATTCTCCTCAAAATAGGGCTTATTCAAATACTGTTTGACCAAAGAGATCAAGGAGTGACCAAGGAGTTCCATACCAGCAAGGTTACTCAGTGGATTCTCTTTTATCTGTATTCCTGCTGTCTGTATTGTCCACCAACCAAAATAGCACAGCTTCTTGCTTGGAAGCTAAAGATTGTCCCCTAATGTGTAGGAGACTTGTGCTTCTTCCTTTCTGTGATGGCTGGGCAGTTACATTATAGCACTTCCCACACAATTAAACTTCAGTGCTTTGCAAATCTGTGGGAAATTCTTCTGCATAAATGTGCAACAGAATTGCACTATTAGAAGTCAATGTGTTCCTCATTATTTTATTTCACTTTCATTGAGTATTTTATTTCACTTTCATTGCAGCACATCAAAAACTTCTCCATGATGAAAAAGAGACGGGGCAAGGAGCGGGGGGGGGGGGGGGGTCTTTCTCCTATTTAGAATATTAAATGAGTTGAAGAAGAGATTTTTTAGTTAATAGTTAAGAGGTAGAATATAATTTATATTCTACTTTATGTTTGGGGGTAATTATTAAATAAGGTTTATTATATAAGATTAAAAGATAAGTATTAGTTTATAAGTAAGATAGAAGAATATATAAATATGGTGGAATATTAATTTTGAATATGCTAAATCTGATATTAGATTATTTTGAATATGTGAAGTATAAAGGGGAAAGATAGCACTGAGAATTCAAAGAGTTAAAAAAATGAAAAAGACAGGTTAAGATAATAGGGGTATACAGGCAATGGGAAGTGGATATTTTAAGTTTGGTGACTGGTGGTTTCTCCATTCCCCCCACTGCCATTTCTGTAAAAGTGGAGATGCCCAGAATGTTGGTGTTCTGGGGGAGAAAGGGGAAAGGTAGTTTTTTATGTAAGGGTGGTTTTGTGGTGGTGGTGAAGGTAATTTTTTCTATGCTTTGTTTAGTTTTTAGTTTTTTTAAGTAAATTTGTGGGTGTGCGCAAAGGACCAGCAAGGATATGTGTTTTAAATCTGCAGGTGGTGCAGTGGTTTAAACTGCTGAACTGCTGGGCTGGTTGATCGAAAGGTCGCCGGTTCGAATCTGTACAACGGGGCGAGTTCCCATTGCTCCGTCCCAGGTCTTGCCAACCTTGCAGTTCGAAAGCATACAAATGCAAGTAGATAAAAAGGTACCACCTTGGTGAAAAGGTAACAGCATTCTGTGCACTTCAGTGTCTAGTAATGCCGGCCACATGACCACAGAAACTATCTGCAAGACAAACACTGCCTCCCTCGGCTAAAAAATGGAGATGAGCACCACTCCCTAAAGTCAGACATGACTGGACTTAACGTCAAGGGGAAACCTTTACCTTTATGGCTGAAATTGTAAGAGGACTATTTATTTATTTATTTATTTAGCGGACTTATATGCCGCCCCATTTTCCTGAGCCTCGAGGCGGCTTACAAATAAATAAATATCATTAATACAATAAAATACAATTGGAGATATCCTGGCCAAAGTTGTTAAAATCAAAAAATAAAATCAACAATTAAAATGCCATTTTAATAAAAAGGTCTTGGCCTGGCACCGAAAAGCAAATAACGACAGCACCAGGTGGACCTCTCTGGGGAGCGCATTCCATAGGTTGGGCGCCACTGCAGAGAAAGCCCTCCTCTGGGTACTCACCCTCCTAATGTCCTTCATGGAGGGCTCCTGGAGAAGGGCCTCTGCTGTCGATCTCAAGGGGTGGGAGGGCACATATGGACGTAAGCGCTCCTTTAGGTAACAAGGACCCAAGCTGTTAAGGGCTGTATAGGTGATAACCAACACCTTGAATTGGGCCTGGACTTCAATGGGGAGTCAGTGAAGCTGACGGAGGACTGGAGTTATGTGAGCACAACGCCCAGTCCCCGTCAGCAACCTGGCAGCTCTGTTTTGCACCAATTGAAGTATCCGGACCGTCTTCAAGGGCAGCCCCATGTAGAGCACGTTACAGAAGTCCAGTCAGGAAGTTACCAATGCGTGAGTCACTGTCGCCAGGCAGTCATTCTCCAGGTAGGGTCGCAGCTGGTGAATCAGCTGAAGCTGAAAGAAAGCGCTCCTCGCCACTGCTGCTACCTGAGCTTCAAGCAAAAGCTCTGGATCGAGGAGCACTCCCAAGCTGTGGACCTTGTCCTTCAGAGGGAGTGCAACCCCATTCAGGACAAGGTCAAAGTCCCCTTCCCCGAAGCCTGAACCGCCTACCAACAAGACCTCCATCTTGTCTGGATTGAGCTTCAGTTTATTGGCCCTCATCCAGCCCATTACCTCGGCCAGGCACCCATTCAGTACAGCCACTGCCTCACCTGGATTGGTGGAAAACGAGAGGTAGAGCTGGGTATGATCAGTGTACTGATGGTTCCGCAGCCCACACCTCCTGATGACCTCTCCCAGCATTTTCATGTAGATGTTAAATAGCAAAGGGGACAAAATGGACCCCTGCGGTACTCCATGGCATAACTGCCATGGCACAGAGCCATAGTCCCCCAGCACCACCTTCTGGAATCGGCCATTGAGATAGGAGTGGAACCACTGCAAAGCAGTGCCTCCAACCCCCAGTCTCGCTAGGCTATCCAGAAGGATACCATGGTCGATGGTATCAAAAGCCGCTGAGAGGTCCAGGAGGACCAACAGGGACGCACTCCCCCTGTCTCTCTCCCTGCACAGGTCATCATACAGGGCGACCAAGGCAGCTTCAGTACCATACCCAGGTCTGAAGCCGGACTGAAATGGGCCCAGATAATCAGTTTCATCCAAGAATGCTTGGAATTGTCCCGCCACCACCTGCTCCAACACCTTACCCAAAAACGGGATGTTGGCCACTGGTCTATAATTGGTGGCCATCTCTGGATCCAGGGATGCCTTCTTTAGGACTGGTTGGACTACCACCTCCTTTAAAGGGACAGGTACCCGGCCATCCCTCAGAGAGGTGTTGACAACCTCCGGGATCCAGGTCCCTATCCCATGCTTGGCGTTGTTAAGTAGCCAAGATGGGCAA